TGCTGATCAGAGCAAAGCTGAAAAAGGTTCCATCTCTCTCTCTCTCTCTGTATGTATATATATATATATATTTTATATATAGACGGCAGTAAGGATGCATGCAGCCTTTGTTGCGTCTTTTCTTGTTCCCACCCAGGCGGACATTGCCAACAGCTTTTGCACCACCTGCCCGATGGACATGTCGACGCAGAACGTTGGTGCTACCTCGCTCGAGCAGTGCAAATGCCAGGCATTCGGGAATCTAAATAGATACAACAGCTGGCTGGAGAACCCCATAGTAGTTCATCTATGTTCATCTACAAATTGACATAACATGATATCTGCCTGGCACATATTCTATTGCCAAATTAGTACTTCTGTCTTCAAAAGAAATGCCCAAGAGCATTTTCGGCACCTCCATTATCCTGTGCCAGGCAGGGCTCTATGATCAAGGAGGCTCCTGTCAAGACTGTCCAGAAGGCTTCTATTGCCAGGGGGATGGTAAAGCCATTGCCTGTCCCCCACATTCGACAACCACCACCGACAGAAAGGTCGCCACGGATTGCATTTGCATGGCGGGCTACTACTATGTGTCCGTAAATGGCTCACAGGATACCAACTGCAGACCATGTGATCCCAAAAGCTACAAGCCAAATGTTGGCAACGGGGAATGTCCGCTGACATGTCCCACCAACGCTGATAGCGAACTGGCATCCACGAGCTTGGCGGATTGTTTCTGTGAGCCAAGTTTTTATGCAAGCATCGATAGCACAACTATGAGGCTGGCAAGATGTATCCCCTGTACATTTCAAGGTCTGGATTGTCGGGGGGGTTTTGAGAATCGAAGCGAAGCAAATGAGACGTCTGATCGCGTGCATGCTATGCCCGTTTCTCTGTGCCTTGGCGTTTGCTTCGGTTTTCTTCTCTTTTTTGGGTGAGCAGTAAGGGTTTCCAGGAAATTTGGGTATTATACATATGTATAGACAAACATTATATTACGCGCACATATGTATGTATGTATGTAATGTAATGTAATGTAATGTAATGTAATGTAATGTAATGTAATGTATGTAATGTATGTAATGTATGTAATGTATGTATGTATGTATGTATGAATGTATGTATGTCTGTATGTATGTATGCATGGATGGATGGATGGATGGATGTATGTATGCATGCATGCATGCATGTATGTATGTATGTATTGTATGTATGTATGTATTGTAATGTATTGTATTGTTATTGTTATTGTTATTGTTATTGTTTTGTATTGTATTGTTTTGTATTGTATTGTATTGTATGTATGTATGTATTGTATGTATGTATGTATGTAATGTTATGTATTGTATTGTATTGTATGTTATGTTATGTTATGTTATGTATGTATGTAGGTAAGTATGTATGTATGTATTGTATTGTATTGTATTGGTATTTGTATTTGTATTTGTATTTGTATTGTATTGTATTGTATTGTATTGTATGTATGTAATGTAATGTAATGTAATGTAATGTAATGTAATGTAATGTAATGTAATGTAATGTAATGTATGTATGTATGTGTGTGTGTATGTATGCATGCATGCATGCATGCATGTATGTATGTATGTATTTATGTATTTATGTATGTATGGTATTGTATTGTATTGTATTGTATTGTTGTATTGTATGTAATGTAATGTAATGTAATGTAATGTAATGTATGTATGTATGTATGTATGTATGTCTGTGTGTATGTATGTGTGTATGTGTGTATGTATGTATGTAATGTAATGTAATGTAATGTAATGTAATGTAATGTTATGTATGTATGTATGTATGTATGTATTGCATGTATTGTATGTATTGTATGTATTGTATGTATTGCATGTATTGTATGTATGTATGTATGTATGTATCTATGCAATGTAATGTAATGTATTGTATTGTATTGTATGTTATGTTATGTTATGTTATGTTTTGTTATGTTATGTTTTGTTATGTTATGTATGTATGTATGTAGGTATGTATGTATGTGTTTATATATATGTAGACATATTACACAAGGGACATATGTAAATGCAGAGATATATGAAATAAAAACAATGCAAACATCAATGCAAACATCAATGCAAACAAAACTATGATGCAAATAGATGTGCAATGATGTGCATGTTTAAACATGTAAAATTATTTTCCGCACCATCTTCCAACGGGGGCTGACACAATGGGGTGACACAACGGGGCACCGGGGTAAAACAACCGGGTAACACAACGGGGTATACCAACGGGAAGACTAAAATGGGAAATGGTGGGTATATGTTGTGTATTTATGATGTGTATTTTGAATGTATTTTGAATGTGTTTTAGATATGTTTTAGATATATTTAGCTATGTTTTAGATTTGTTTTAGATATTTTGTTATTATGTTTAAGATATGGTTTAGATAGTTTATGGTATTTCATGGTATCATATGGTATCTTTTGATATGTTATGACACTTTATATCGCTATATGATAATGTTTTTCAGGTTTTCAGACAATATAATTTAAATGTAAAATTGAAAAGCATCTGCACTGAACGGGCCTGCAAAATGCATATGTTTATCAGCCTGATCTTTCATAACTTACATTTTCTATTCCCCCATGGCACTTAAACATTGTAATACTACATTTTTCACGTCAAAGTCGAATATTGTCATATTACATTTTTCACCCACCTACCCTCGAGAAAAGTAATATTAACATTTTCTGCCCCCCTGGTCTAAGGGGTAGAGATCTTAGGAACCGAAGATGTTCTGTTTTATTATTTTTTATAAATATGTTTACATATGTCAGAACCGTTCTTGCACGGTTCAGTTCCCATGTCGGTTCGGTCCCCTTCGCGATTGATCAAGATTTGTGGGACCAGCAGAATCCGCTGCTTCCAATCCGTTTGAATCTGATTTCAAGGCCTGGTTTTTTCCAAACTGGATTGACCACAGCCGTTGAATGTGATGTGCTACTGCCGGATGGCACTTCAGCCTGCATCGGTGGCGAACTCTGTGTGGGTAGCGACCCAAAGGTCTCGAATTGCAATGGAGCATTTGGTGACTTGGATTCCAATCATAGCAATTTCGGGTAGTTTGGCCTGGTCTTGTAGCGTTGGTGCGTCATGGGTGGCAGTTGCGTTCAAATGTTGACAACATGCAACTGAGTGGGAAACGATCCCTTTAAGATGAATTCAAAGGAGCAAGGAACGAAGATCAAACTGAAAGAAGGCGATCGAGTGATTGAGGAAACAACGAAGAAACTGTGAAAACAACGGAAAGAAGTAACACTTCTACTAGTGTGTCTCGTGGAAGAAAATTATGGAAGTGTCTCAAACTCGGACACTGCTATCTTTGGACTGGCGTATTGCTGAAGACTGCGCCCTCTTGTTCAAAGCTGAAGGCGCTGAGCCTAATTTTGATGCTGGACAAATTTTACAAGCCTCAGCTGCCACACACGCACACACATGTAGAGACTTTCAATATCTTTTAAACATGCTTTCAAAAAGCTCTTGGCGTCCACGGTGTCAGCCTTCCCCGAAATGCACTCGTCAGGCAATTTGTGTGCAGAAGGCGCGGCGATTCAAAGCCAGAAATCAGATATGTTAGTCAAAGTGAGTGGCCCAGCCTCTGCCCGGAGAGGGATTTTTGTTGGCAATTGCTGGATCTTTTGTAACGAAATGTAACGACATGTATGGATCTCGCAGGCTCAACTGGAATGCTTTGCGGTGCATGCCCCTATCGTTGGGCAAGAGATGACTATCCAGACTACTGCCAGCCTTGCCCAGATGAAGCAGTAAGCGCTCTGGTGGTCGCCCGCCTTAATGCAAAGCCAGACCCATCCAACATGGCTGTGCCCAGAAATGCAGTATACCCCCAAATAGAAATTTTAATGGTGTGCAGCATGATGATCAACCATCATATTTGGGGCCATCCTATTTGAAGACCAGATGTTCAGCCAGCATGCTGGAACTGCATCCCTTGATACCTATTTGAGGCCGGAATCTTGTCTGATATCTTTCAGAAGACTGCCCTGAACTTTGTGGTGGCAGTCATGGCAGCCACATCTGCTGTGAAAGGAGGCTCCAAACTTCACACCAGCATGATCCGTGCCTTGCCAACGATGTGTTGCGTTGTGGTGCCACATGGTGTCCCATCACTGGGCCGCTGAGCCCATACCGAGGCATCGGTACACAATGGTTGGCAGCTTGTGTCTCGGTAAGGGTTGAGACTCCGGGGCTTCGGATGGCTCACGGGAGTTCAAACATCCGGTGAGTTGTCGTCAGATTTTGCCCAGGAACTCCAAACCCACGGGTTTATCATCCTTTCCCCATCAACATGGCCATAAATTCAGGTATCTCATCTCTCGTTTTTTTCTCATTTGTGTGGCTTAACCAAGGTACGGATCTGACTTTCGCCTCCTGAGGTTCTGTCCTCACAGAGTTTAATTTGGACCGGCTCCCTGGCTTTGGCTGGTCCCAAGAGCAAGAGAAGCTCCAGCAGCTCCAGGCCTGTGCGGATGCCAACATCACTGATTGTGATACAAGCAAAGAGGCAGGGAGTCGCAGGGAGAGGGAACAGTGACTGATGTATCTGATGTGACTGTGACGAGGGAAGAGTGATTTGCGGCAGCTCTTGAGCTTCTCTGTGGGTCATGGCTGCGCAGGCAAGCAAGTTTCCATGGCCAGAGGAGGTGACACAGGCCATGGACAATGTCTTTGCCATGATGGGGGTAGTGTTTGGCCCTCAGCGGCAATGCAGCCAGCTACCCTCGCGGGTGATGGCTTTGTTTGAAAATGCAGTGCATCTGAAATTTGATGGTCAATTTAAGCTTAGACTGTTAATATCTATTAATCACCATTTTCCTATCCATTTTTCCTTATGGCTTTTACCACTCAACTGGCCATGGGTTCGACCCCCAGGCCATCTTTGGCTTCAGTGGAATTTTCGGCTAGATGCCATGGAGAGCAGCTGCTGCCCGGAGACGGAAACGCGATGCTCGGAGCGTAGAGCGTAG